CACAGGAATTTGTATATAAGCTTGATATTCCAAAATAACTCAATACAAATTTTAAAGTTCCATTTAGCCAAAAAAAAACTTTTTTTGAGATAGCGTCTCACTCTGTCACCCCGGCTAGAATGCAGTGGCATAATCGTAGCTCACTGCAACCTCAAACTCCTGGCCTCAAGCAATCCTTCTGCCCCAGCCTCCTGAGTATCTGGGACTACAAGCGCATGCCACCATGCCCAGCTAATTTTTCTATTTTTTTAGAGATGGGGGTCTCGTTTTTGCTCAGGCTGGTGGTCTCAAACACCTGACCTCAAGCCATCCTCCGACCTTGGCCTCCCAAGAGTGCTAGGACTACAGGCATGAGCCACTGCACCTGGCCCAAATTTTTTAATACAGTAAATAAACATTTAAAATTTGTACTTATGAATTTGCTGTTTTCACAAATATGTGCTACTGCCACTGGGAGCCATTCAGTTTTCCTCCATGTTGGAGCAGTGTTCCATGTTATCTAGCGTGGATGAGTTGGCAAAGCCCAGTAATCTTTATCTCAGACTACACGCTTGTGAAAATGTAAGCATCTAGGGCAATACCATGTCTCAGGAGTCGTTTATTAATCACTAAATAATGAAAGGACAACGAAAAGGCCAGGAAATTAATGGAAGAATGGTTTCTCCCATTCCTATTTCTACTAACATTAGTAGAAATAACATTATTAGTAGAAATAACATTATTGTGTGTGCATGCGTTTGTGTGTGCATGCGTGTTTATACTTCCATCAAACTCATCCACTCTGTTTAGTTTTGCAAGTCTAACCCTCATTTTCTAAAACTACAATTTCAAGTCACAAGAAGTGATTTTTTTTTCTAGTTCTTCCTACTGAGTTTGTAATGTTTGGCCACCTTCCTTCAAGTCTTTAGAAAATTATATGTCTTGGGGGAAAAAAAATAAATTGCTCTCTGGGCAATAAGACAAAGTATCCAATTCATATTAAATACCTTCAGTTTCCCTCTGGTATCCCTAAAAGTGTCCAAGTCAACCTTAATCCACCTTTCCAAACACGGTGCTTGGTGTAGCTATCTTTGAAAACAAAAATTATGCAGTCTTTTTCTAAAATTACAAGCCAAGGATATATTTTTCAGGTCTTCTACCTATGAAAAACCAAACAAAACTTTCCTTTAAGTAAGTTCCTAAACTTTGAACATTTGGAAACACCTGGACATTTGGGCATTTCTTACTTTGGCTGAGGAGAAAAATGATAAACACAGCAATAGCACCATCTAAAGACATATTGTCAGAATTCCTTGAAAATGAGCCAGAGATCAATTTCAGGCAAATCTGTGTCTTCACCTTCCCCAGTCAGAATAATGAAAGGATGACTGCTGTATTTCATTTGCCCTTTGATGCTTAGTGCTAGGGGTCAAAGACAAAACGCTCAGTTTGTGCTTGTTGAGAAGAAATACATCACAGCTGCTACAATTATCACTGTGTCCAGAGAGTAAAGCTGTTAATGAAAGCAAAAGTATCAACAGCACTGGCTACAGACCTGGAGCCGAGAATGATTACTTCCAGTGACTTATTTTTGGTTTTTGTTAATGGCACTGCTTCTTTGAAGATGAAGGAGTCAACTATATCCTTAGACCTGCACTGTGCAATAGAGGCGCCAC